TGCCGGACTGATGGCCATGCCTCTCGCCACTCTGGTGGGCTCTGAGATTGGGTCAGAGTCTCGGAGCTTTATTTGGGGACATGATACATGTGCATCATTACCCTGTGTGTGCAGGGGGGTTGGACTAGATGACCTCTGGAGGTCCTTTCCGACCTCAAGCATTCTATGATTCCATGCATGCACCACATGCATATGCACAGTGCCTCTGCAGGGACTCTGGCCCTGTGCTTTCTCTACAGCTGTTTTTTTTTTAAGCCTGTTTTCCCTGGCATAAATGTATTTTCCCTTTTTGACTCTAACATAAAGTTTAATGTGAAATTTAACCAGCACTGATGCAATTCCCATACTAAGCTCCTCAGAACTGAATTAGAAGGGAASTTCCAGAGCTCATTGGCCTGCACAGATATTTTGATGAGGGAGGATGCGAGTCTTTCCCATGCTAGTGGGTCCTTTTTTTGTTATCCCAGATCTAAGTTTCTGGAGGTGTTTCCATAGTGGAGATGTCAGTATGCTGTTGCCTTTTGCAGTATGTTTAATTTCCATGGACTCTGGAACTTGTCTTACTGTCTTCAGCAATGCCTATAGGAAGTGTAGGTGCCTTTACTCACTGTGATGGTCTCTCATCTTCTTTTCTCTGCTCTTACCAGTCAGGCTCTTTGCTAGCACAGCAGAAGTTACTGCAGTAAAGTTCCTAGAGGAACATGTTTCTGCTGTTGACCTGAGGACTTACAGGCTGATTCTACATCAGGCAGGGGTAAGTGGGGTTTAGGACAGGAATAAGTATTGCAGTCCCCTCTACTCTGTGTCCCCGTTGTTGGGTACTAGTCTAGCAATAATTTGAAACTGAGGTGCAACTCATCTCACTCAGTATGAGATGTACATAGTGCCTGCTTTTGCTGAATGTTTAGGCGCTTACTTTTGGGAGAAATGGCCATGTCCTATACATGCGTGTGTTTTCTATATATGTATTTTTCTGAAGTACATACTTACAGAGTTCAACATGACTAGGTCAGATACATGTATTGACAATGTGGATGTATTTGTTTGGCTGAAGAAACCCCACTCAAAGGCTTCCTCTATACTAATAAATTAAATGTGGCTGGGACTATTCTTGTCCTGTAGGCTAGCTGGCATGCAGTGGCCTACTTCCTTCCTATTAACTCTTTCAGTTTCCAAAATGGGATGGCTATTCCATGTAGTCCCAGAGAAGGAAAGTGTGTGAAGGATGTAACCTCAATGATGCATGACTCATACTCATGGTAGTGCATCATTCTGTCACTGAGAGAGATAGAGGTGGCCAGACCAGAACTTTCATAATTGTATGGCCCTGGGCTTGATACATTTGTTGGGGAATGGAAAAAAAATGCAATGTTTTCTTTTCCACCCTCCATTCTCAAGTGATTAGCATCGAGAAACATGATGGATCATCAGCACTGGAGATATGTCAAATGTGGTTTTAAAACGTTTCAGAGTTGAAACCTTCAGTGCATTAGGCAAGTTGCCTGATAGAAAAGGCATACATTTTAAGCAACTGCTGCCCTAAAAGATTGTTTAAATTAAATTGTAAATTAACATCTCTATCTCTATAGCCCTGGAGCAGAGTGGCTGCCTAGGTATTTCATAATGGAGTATGCAAGCCTAGCAACATGTGGCTTAGTCTGCTGGATAGTGTGCGGTATTATGTAATTTAGCAATATTAAAGTAGGGTGTCCTGATAATAATATTATTTGAAAGCTGTTTACTATATTTAATTCCATTTAGATTTGGTGTGTCACTTGTATTTTGGGAAAAAGAGATTTTAGAAGAAACTAGAGGGCGCGCGATAGGAAATTGCGCAATATACTTATCTGAGGCCACATCACATGGTCTGCAAAACACTGCTTTTGCTTTTATACACATACCCTTGGCAACGCTCCCACTAGCAACAATAGTGCTCAGACCCGTACTGATGTCACTGTGGAGTTATTTAATTTGACTGAACGAGATTAATGTGTTTATTTAAAACCTTGGTCAAAATGGAAAAGAAAATCTCAGGACAATACGCTTACGTGAACATGTATGTTTTCATATCTGATGGTTGTGATGTTGCATTACTTATCAGAGCAGTTGTTTACACACACTAACGCCTGKGAGACCCCCTCAGATAAGAAATGGGAATCTGGAGCAGAGATTTTCATACGGCTTTTGCACTGCGGGCTCTCGTCCCACATCTCTTTGCTTCTTCTTCATGCTTTGAGCACCGACCCACGGTGATCCCAGCATTGCTCTGCTTCCTCACGTGAGAATGGTGCTCAATGCACCATGGAATGACAGCAGTGCAGAGGTGTTTGGAGTAGATTCTCCTGATGTTTTGATGYTGGCTGAGGAATAGAGAGCTCCACTGTAGGGACTACCTGGAAGGAGCTGCCTCTGGGCTTTGCAGGCTGACCCTGCTCTCGTAAAGGATGGAGACTGTCTGCCTAAATTTTCTCTGTGYTAAGTAAGTTTTACAAGCAGCTTGACAGTTTTGCCCTGTGACAAATCATTCTGAACTAATTATTTCTTTTTCTTACATCTATCTTCTGACTGTTTGGAATAAAGCTCAGTTTAGCCTAAAAAGTGCCAGTAGCTATCCAGTTACATACTGCAGACCAGTGTAATTTTATAAATGCACAGAATAGAAGTCTTGAATGTAAAGAGGATTTTATTTGTTTGTTTGTTTGTTTTTGATTGCCAGGGCAAATTTGGTCTTTCCATGGAGCTTTCTACTGGTGATTAAGCAAACCAGGTGAAGTGGTCTCTGCCTCACTCTGTCATGAGTCTCTCCTGACAGTTACAGACAATTGCCATATACACAAATTAACAAGACAGAAATTGCRTAACCCAGAGTTTAATGCTCACTAGTGGGTGCACTAAGCAATGGGTGTTTCTTTTTGCTTCCAGTTTTGTAGTCACCATGTTCATATTTCCCTGCTCTGTCCCATCCCCTGCTGCTCACAGTGTGAATCTCTTGGGTGAACATCAGCTGCTGCTGGGGCTCGTGACAGGCCAAAGGGAGGCACTAAGTGCTCCCTTTTCCCTTATGTTGTGGAAGGATTTGGGGAATCTGAGCCACTGCTCCCATCTTTGCTGCTGTCATTCGAKAAGGGAGAAAGGTTCACACATGTCTGCGTTTCTCCAGGTGTGGGGCATGTTAGGGGTAACACAGAGGAGCCTGAGATTGGGCATCCAAACAAAACAGAAAGGCCAGGAGGAAACCAGCTCTACTGGGTCACTGGTCCCCAGACACAGCATGTTGCCTGGGATGTTGCCTGAAGGCCACATGGGCTCATCCTGCAGCATGATTGACCCTCCAGACTTACAAGGATACCAGGTTAAGCCAGGTCTTGGTATTGTCCTCTCCCTGCTGTCTCAGTATGTTGTACCTGTGTGTGCACTCTGTGTCCCCAGGTGTCCATTGGACCCTGAGAAGAGTTGTGCATTTAAAGGAACACCAGAATAGCAGGGTTTCTGAAGCCCTGCTGTTCCCTACATAGGCACTGTCTCCCCGTGTCTTCTCAGTGACTGCAAGTAAGAGCTGCTGGGAACTACAGCCAGGACTTTGCTGATGGGAAATGAGTAGCAGGACCCACCTCCTTCCACAAGGATAGAGCAGAGCAGTTCTGGAGCTGCTTCTGTGGAGATACCTGTTTGAGAAGCTGTCCGCATCTCCTAGTTTAAGTTCCATCTGTATTGCTCGGTCCTTTGAACTGGATATGCGCAGGGTGGGGGATTCACAGATTCACAGATTCACAGAATATTTAAGTTTGGAAGGGACCTCTACAGATCATCTAGTCCAACCTTCCTGCTCAAGCAGGCACACCTACAGCATGTGGCACAGGGTGGCACAGRGTGGCATCCAGGCGGGTTTTGAAGACCTCCAGAGTAGGAGACTCCACAACCTCCCTGGGCAGCCTGTTCCACTGCTCTGTYACCCTAACAGTAAAGAAGTTGCTCCTCACCTGGAGACGGAACTTCTTGTGTTTCAGAACACAAGGATCAGGATCTGTGAAGTTTATTTAAAGCASTAAATAGCTTGACACACAAAGATATTTTCCTCAGAGTTCCAGTCAGTGGAAATATGTCATTTTCAGCTAAAATTAGACTGGCTCCAGCTATACTAAAAAAAAAAGAAAAAAAAAAGAAAAATGGAAAAAAAAAGAAAAGGAGAGGGGAAGCAAAACCTCAAGAGCTAAATTCTTTCTGTTGGACTTCCTCAGATATAGCAGCTCCTAACAGAAACAACTCAAGATCCTTCCAGCGTRAACTCTATCCAAATGTCTGTGATTTTCATCCAAAAAGGTTTGAACTGTTGGGGACAGCAAAGCAGACTGACTAAGCAAACAAGTCTCTCTTGCATGTGAGAGAATGTAAATAATCTTAGAGAATAACAGTAGATCTTCCAGAGGTACTAAGTGAAAACTGGAAATAGCTGAATTTTAAATGAGTTTTGCAGTTTGAGGGGAAGAGGGGGACTGACTTTGGAAAAAAAATACTCACTAGTCTCATCAGATTTGATATAACATGTTTAATTTTATAAAAGATGCTTTGGCTGAACCTACATCCACCAACTTAAAAGAAAAAATAAAAGCAACAGCTTTTTTTTCTTTAAATTCTTTTTTCTTTATTTTTTTCTTTAAATTCTTCTTTTTTTCTTTAAATTCTTTCTTTAAAGAAAAAACTTTCTTTCTTTAAAATAACCTTGACCTTGCAACATTTTGCTTTGTGCATTAAACTCTAAACATAGACAAAAGTGAGTAGACACTTGATGCTTTCTGGGATCTAATGCTAAAACGTATGTGGAGGGCAGTGGGGAGAGACTTGGACCTAAAATAGAGAGCAGAAAACAAATAGAAAACCATTGCGAATTAAATACACATTTTGAGTATTCTTTCTTTCAAACAACTTGTATTAAAAGAACAATGAAGGGAGTCTGTGGAGCCTAACTATGTATTGTGTTGTTATTCCAGGCTTCATCAGCAGTTTCTTGATGTCTGCGGAGTTCTGAGATTGACCCTGCTGCAGCACTTGCAACCAGCGCCTGAGATTACAAAAGCGTGTGTGTGGAAGAACCTCTCTCTGAAGGAAGCTGCCCTCTGAGTTTTGTGGAAATTTCGTCCAAGCCTTGGGAGGCAGGAGGGCAAATCTTGCTTCTGTTGGCACTGGTGCGTAATCTCGTCTTCTTATGCACTCCAGCACCCCTATCAGCTCCTTGTTCTCCTTCACCAGCCCTGCAGTGAAAAGGCTGCTGGGCTGGAAACAAGGAGATGAAGAGGAGAAGTGGGCAGAAAAGGCTGTCGATTCCTTGGTGAAGAAACTGAAGAAGAAAAAAGGTGCCATGGAAGAACTGGAACGGGCTCTGAGCTGCCCTGGCCAGCCCAGCAAATGTGTCACGATCCCACGGTCCTTGGACGGCCGGCTGCAAGTGTCTCACCGCAAGGGGCTCCCACACGTCATCTACTGCCGAGTGTGGCGCTGGCCTGATTTGCAGTCTCATCATGAACTGAAACCCCTGGAATGTTGCGAGTTCCCATTTGGCTCCAAGCAGAAAGAAGTGTGCATTAACCCCTACCACTACCGGCGAGTGGAAACCCCAGGTAATTCTGTCACCTGCAAATGACTCCCAGCTCTCTACTAGCTCTTGCACTGGCAGGTCCATACTCGGCCTACGCTGGAAACAGAAAAGGCTCTGTTGGATGGAAATACCTTTCTGCCCTTCAGCGTCCAGATCAAGGGCCACGAGCAGCTCTGTGCTTGGGGTCCTCATTGCAGGTCCAAGGTGGCAGAGCCCTCGCAGGGCAGGATCTTGTCCAGGGTACTGAAAAGAGCCTCCCTTGTAGCACATGGAGGTGCCAGCTGCCCCACGATCCCTCTCTCTACAGACCAGTGTTGCTGGGGTGGCCATTTGTTTGAGATCTAGGCACCAGTAAGTCTTCTTACCTTGGCTGAGAATGCCTCGTTCTCAGAAAGCTGAAAATTGGCTCATTAATCTACAGGAAAAATGTCTCACCAGCTCTCTCTTTAGAAATTAGGGTTGTACTCAGGGAATTCCTCCTAAAATGCCTGATRGATGTCTTGTCTTCAGTGAGAATTACATATCTGGATGGATARTTTATAGGAAAGTGCTCCATCAAGTTCTCACAGAACTTTGAACTTTGAATTTTGATTCTTTTGATGTGATTGGAATGATCCTCTTTAAACTAGACATGATCAACCTTGAAAACTCRTGCCCTAACTCAAAGGTCATTTAATTGGTCTGTGCCAATGAAATAGTTCAACAGCTGATGTAAAATTATAGTGTTCAGTATTGACTTCCATAGGCGTCATAGAAAGCAGGCTGGCAGAGACCTTAAGGGGTCATCCTATTCCCTTCTGTTYCTACCCCTAAACAAAACAAAACAAATGTGTTTTAAAGTGAAGTCTAATATCCTTGATCTTCACAGCCTTAGCAAGCATAAGAATCTGTTRCTTTGCTATTGTTACAGTTCAGAAAGCTTTCTAGTGTCTAACCTAGCTTTCCCTTGCTGCCAAAAATCACAGCAATTTAATTTACTAATGGGTACAGTTGTTAAGAATATGCTTATTATTCTGTGATTACTCTTAGTCTGGCATGAACTTTACTCTGAGGTGACATTAGAGTCAGATAAGTTAGCTGTGAGATGTTTCTTTTCATGGGGATAAAACAAGGGAAAGACATTTGTTAACATCTACTAAACAACAAGGACTGTTCCCCTCCCTCATAGTTCTTCTGCTGCAGGGGAGATGTCATTCTGAAATTGTACCATCTGARCTGCTGTAAACATTGTCACAACTAAAACTTTACAGCTGCAGTGAGCGGTGCCTGTTGTCAACAATTTTTGCTATAAAGAGTTGGTGTTCTGGCTTGCTAAAATAAACCCTTCAAGAATCTAAGAAAAGATGCTCATAAAATATCCCATTTTGTGTATCTTTCTCTYTGAAAGCTCTAGCCTTTAGTGTCTTCTCGTTTCTTCTAGCACGGCCCCTGGGTAGTTAATGGAGTCTCCCCAGTGTGGTAGCTGACAGCACTGCAAAGTGCTGGTTTAAGTCCAACTCTTTAGAGCTGCTTGGTGCCTCTAACAAATGTTAGTTCTGGGATAATCCAGCAGCTGCTAAATGACTTCCAAGGCTAGTTATTAGCCTGTGAAGCAGTCTGGCAACATGTTTATTAGTAAATGAAACGGGCCAAGGTGCAGGCCTGTGACACTGTTAGCATGCTCCCTACCATGGCTTTGATTCATGCAGACTAGTCATTCCCCAAACAACACTACGGGGGTGGAAACTGCCTCCATGGCACTTTGGGCATTTTGGATATGAGCGCCATAAAAAGAACAACTTGATCAAATCTGYTGGAGCCATAGCTGCAGAGAGAGCCTAGATGGCTGCAAGGGGCAGCCATGCAGCTCTGGGCCACAGGACCTTTRGTAGCAGTGCTGGGAAAAACCGTGGTGAGGGAGCAAAAGAAATGGAAGTGAGGAGGATGTGATAGCAGGCAGGTCACTGCAGAAATGCGTGGGAATGAGTGATACAGATACCTGTGTGGGAATGAGTGATACAGGTGCCAGGCCTTTCAAGCAACGATCCTATTTTGACTACTGGAAACCCTTTCTATTCAGGCTCTCAGTAACCCTGCACGTATGCAGGGAGATCCCCTGAATCTTTGCTTCTCCAACTAAGGAATTCACCCATTAAAGTTATTCAACTAAGGAATCCACCCATTAAAGTTATTCAGCATTTCCTTATAACCCAGGGACCTGAAATATTTTCATACAAATGCCCATCATTTTTGGTTCAATTTCTATCACTGTAGTCTGTCTCACTGAGACAACCACTWTGTGACCAGATCCTTTAACTATTATTCAAAGTGAATGAGTTGTGTTGAAGACAGAAGGATGTCACGTTCATTGTTGCTTCCAGTATCCCCAGTAAGTCGCTTCTTTTCAGGCCTGCTAAGCAACAGATGCTGTTTAAAAAAACTACAGCAAGTATTTCCCTTATTTTGTGTAAGATCTCTGTGCAGAATGGGGTTAGTCTACTTAGTCTAAAGGTCTAGGCATGATGGTTAAGCTTTCCTTCCCTTCTTCCACATTCTGGAGAAGTCTGAATGGATCACTGTCAGCAGAAGCTGCAATTTCAGAAAATATAAAAGCTGTCTAGGCATTTGCCCTATTAACCTATTATTTTTAAATGAGATCATTCATGTGTAGATAATGGTGGTTCTAATGTGCTCTGCTGCTGTAGACTGCAGGAGCCTAAGTGAACTTTTGACTTGGACTAGAAGATCGCCCTAGCCAAGCCTGGGTGGGAGGAAGAAGTGGTAATTTCCCAGTTGGAAGACCACYTGATGATCCATAGTGATGATCTATGGCCTGTAGTATGGCCATATGGATATGGTTGTGRATATAGAGAACAGATGGATCTTACCAGAGAATAAAGCTGCAAGGTATAGTATACTCCTAAGAGTGGGGCTGATGTATCAGAAATAGCAGTGTGAGTGTTGTACCTGGAATAAAATAACGGGGCAGGTAAATTGCTCACTAGCACGTGAAGTCCCAGGATCTGCAAACACAGGAACAGAGAGGATTCCAGCAAGAACTACTGCAGCTAAGAGAGTAGGAGAGAGCCAAGTGCAGGAAAGGCAGCAGCAGGAGTTGTTATTTGTTTTCAAATGAGAAAACATCATCAGCAGAGGTATGCAAAGAAGGAAGGATCCTAGTTTTAGATGGAGAATAGTAGGTATAAGAAAGTGCCCCACGGAGTGGAGAGAGTATGGACAAATTATGAGTGCAGATTGGCCCTGAAGGCCAATCTGGCCCCAGTCAATGTTTCAGTTCATGCCTCTTTTCACGCTTCCTTCAGAACGATTGAGACTTAGAGAGTGACATCTGTTACCAAAAGAGCAAGGAGAACAAATCCCCTCTGGGGATTTTTTTTAGTCACAAGCAACAAAACATCCAAATTCCTCTCCTCTACATTGGCTTTAGCCCTGTAGGCATCCATAGAACAGTCAGTGGAAAGATTGAGTGAGGTGGCAAAAACTGTACCACAGAGCAGAAATTAGTATCCTGGACAGAGCTGGGAATTAGTTCAAGGCATTGCAAAGCCTGAAAATTCCTCTTGCTGACTTACTCAGGGCGAGTCAAAGGCTTCCCCTGGCAAGTGCTGTTCACATAACCAAATTCTCAGCTTTCATTTAAAAAAGGAATTGTGTTGAGTTCTCACAGGGCTAAAGAAAGCTGCTTCAATATGAATGGTGCATGCAGGGACTAGTGCCAGCTCCCAAGCACAGCTGTCCCTTCCTCAGTAACTCTGCTCCCTGCAGAGTGCACAGAGATCACTGCTTTTTCCATTTTCCAGGGCTGCTGATCAGCAAGTGCTGGGTAGCTACRAACCTGGCAAAAAACAGGCCATTTTCAAGCTAGAATGTGGGAAAAGCCCAGAAGGAGCAGCAGCTTTCACCCCAGAGCTGCTTACAGGAACATGGATGGRGCAGGACTCAGCTGACCAAAAACACATCTGCAGTGTGATCACTTCTGTGGTGGTCTTGTCCCAACACAGGGCAGATGAGCTGAGCACTAGGAGAGTCTTGTTTCTCTCCRCTGGCTGTAAGGAGAGCTTAGAGGGATCAATGCAGCTCGGAAGTGAATGCTGCATTGCCAATGCATCCTACCTGGGGAGTTAAGGAAATCCAGAAACCTAAGGAAGAGGTAAAAAGCAAAAATATTTTCCTCTACCAAAGAGCTACCAAGTGGGTGACTACACAATTGTCCTCCCACAAAGATGGTTGAAGGGAAGAAAACAGGCTTTCAGAGTACTGGCGCTGTGCTGGCTAGAGACTCGAAATGCAGTCACCAGAGAAGGGTCTACACATAGTYTCTTAACAAGAAACCCAGTGCCTGTGTTCCTGGATGGGTGAGAAGATAACATTTACAGTGCATCCCCTGTCATCAGTCCAATCCTTTCTATGTTTTTAGCATTCAGATCTTCAGTCCTTAGGCAATTGGCAAATTCGCAAATGGTCTATTCCAGTGCCTTGGCAGGAGAGCAATTTAATCAGTGCCCCAGCTGCAAGATAGTGCTATAGCAAGCTGGAAGCTGAAAATATGGCATTTGTACCAGGCACTGATCTGCTGCCTGATAGAGGCTGCCCTGTTTAGAGCAGTCAGTGTGCAGTGATGTCCAGTGTGCAGGAGAAGTTCTCCTACAGCCTCTTCTCTTGCACATGCTTTGCATTATCTATGTATTTGCTTTAGAGCAATTACTCTACTCTTTCATTAGGTTGGATAAATGAGAGTTGAATGTAACTAAAAGGTGTTCCCCAACCTACCTAAAAAGAAYTAGCCTTACTCAGACAGAGCTTTTGAGTCCAAACAATATATGAAAACACTTTCAAACAACATGTTCGTGTCAGCATTTATAACCAATATGCCACTTGCTATTTTTTTCCATGAACTGGTAAAAACAGACATGCTGCTGGGTTTTCGACCAAAGCAACTGTTGACACTAAGTCAATCTATATAAGCCTGTTGTATTGTTCTAATGTTGAGACAACTCATCTTGTCACAATAACCAACTTGCTTCCTTATCTTCTCTGGAGGTTTTCGATCTCTCTGCTAACAAGCAGGGATTCCTTCCCCCTACTTGTGTTTAAGGCTTTAACTAAGGCACTTAGATGCTTAATTATCCTCTACAGCCAGTAAAGAAATCTTGGGGTACAAAAATTGCCCACTGTAAGTGCCATTCTCTCCCTAAGGACTACAGATGGCTCCAGCTAAGGCCTGAAGTCCCATATTCAGAAACATTTAACACACCTCTTTGTGTTCTAAACTATGGGCTACATCTTTATAAATAACTCACCTAATAAACCTTTTAAAGCATTTTGACTGGTCCTGCTGTTGCTCCTGTTATGTCAGAATTCAAGTTTTCAGGTCAGCTTTTAGTTCTTCAATGCACTGATGCCGTTGCAGATGTGACAATATGAGATACATACAAAAAMGAGAGTGTGTGAGGAGAGAAGATATTTTCCACTAGATCAAGTTGGGAGAATTTGTATTTCAGTTTTCTGACCAGCTTTTTTCATGTTTTGACTACCAAGCATTGACATTTGTCTCCTCATGCTATATGTTTTTTAAGTAWATTGCAAGGGCTAAATGTATATTGCTGCAATATTTGAATTACCACTTACATTTCTTTTTAAAGATTCTGCTGTCTGGTTGGCAGCATTTTCTGGCACCTGAAAACCTTTTAAATCTGGTCTCTAGCTTCTGGTCTATGTTTCTTTTTGCTCATCTGTAAAATGCTAGTGGTAAAATAATGCAGTGTACTTGCTGAGCACTGTTAATTATAATTAAACTTGTCTCTGAATTTGGCAAAGCCTAATCATAATATTTATCAACTCCTGAATTTTTCAGCCTTCAGGAGAAGCAATATGTAACTTTGAGAGAAAGAAATTTGCCACTTGCATTTTTGTAATATATCTATGTGTACATACTGTACATGTAAATTCTATGCACAGTTGAGGAAWGAGTCCCTTTTTGCACATAGAACTGCTGSAACTGGCTGCAAAACTGAAGAAGAAAAAAGAAAAAAAGGAAAAGAATYGTATTTTTACTGTGGAACAGGTTTGTTGCACCTCAATGAGTATCAGACAAAAATATTTAGGTAGCACAGAATAYACCACTCAGCCTTACCTACAAAGGGATGTATTTACTGAAGTGCAGTTGTAACTGAATTTTTTCCATTCTGTTTTTGCTTCCAGTGCTACCTCCTGTACTAGTTCCAAGGCACAGTGAGTTTAACCCTCACCTCAGCCTGCTGGCCAAGTTCAGAAACACTTCCCTGCACAGCGAGCCGCTGATGCCGCACAATGCCACCTACCCCGACTCCTTCCAGCACCCTCCGTGTACTCCTTTCCCATCCTCACCCAGCCACATGTTCTCCCAGTCACCCAACAGCATCAGCTATCCCAATTCACCGGGAAGCTCCTCTGGACCAGGAAGCCCATATCAGCTCACAGGTAAGAGCTCATGTCTCATGAGCTTCAACATGTSTCTCCATGGCAGCAGAGGTTCTTGCAAGGACCTGGGTTCAGGAGAGATTCTTTAACTCACRTCAGGCTGTCCCTGTGCACTGAACGGTTGCGCAGGATGGACCTGGAGTAAGATTTCTTGTCTTTGTTTCTTTGCCTCATCTACCAGTCTTTCTGATGGATGTTGAATGGCCTAAAAGCCACAGTCATGCCACTCCTGCAAGTGTCTGAGTGAGCGCTCACAATTACTATAAGGAGAAAATTCAGGACAACAGCAGGTGAGCCAGGCCACCTCCTGACCATCCATGCTTCTGATAACAATCCATGGAAGAGAGTATTTGCAACACCTACGTTAGGCACCTCTAATAGAGGTAATCACAACAGGGACCTTTAGCAGCTTCATCAACAGAGATAGGCAAAATCGTGAAATCAGTATGTAGAAATATTTGCTAATGTATAATGATCCCTCTGACTGTAGAAATTTCAGGAAATTAAGATATTTTTCAATTTGACTGAACATTCAGCGAAGTCATCAGGCAACTTCTTGTGCCTTCAGTKCATGTTTTTTCTGCTCCACATCTCCAAGCTCAGCAGGGTTAACTCTCTCGAATTGTTTGTACTGTGAACTCCTTACTTGGTAGTGTTCTGGTTACCTAAGAATTTAACTATGCAATTGTTATTAAATACACCAAGAAGGTGTCATGCTACACAACTCAGGGCTGGCTTTAATGTGAAAAGTCACTGCTGCACTTTGTTGCAGCTCCAAAGTAATTCCAGCAGTCCCAGCTTTTTTATAAAGATGAATGCAGATCAGAGTCTTTTAACTTAATGTTTTAATATTTCAACTATAAAACATTTAAATTAATATCCTCAATATCTATTTTGATCTTAAGTGTGGGAAAGATGTTTATTTTTACATGTTATTTGTAGTGCTTTAACTTCCTTTCAAGCTGGACATTTTCAACATAGCACAATGTTTTTCTTTCCTTGTCCATCTGAATCCACTGAATTTTTGTTCATTTCTACTCCAAATACGTAGTCGGATTAACTCATTGAGCAACATCCAAACACTGTGGCAAGTAGTAGGACTTGTTTATCTTCTCCAATTCTTATCCTTTTCTTTTGCCTCAGTGTAACTGCGATCAATTCAGTATAGCTGGTCCTGACAGGTAAATCAGGTCCACTCCAAGCTATATGCCCCTGACTTGTGTATTTACCTGAACTGGGGACCTTGCAAAGCCACTTAGAAATGGAAGTGGCTCAACCTGAGCTTCAGTGTATCAAAGCTGACTGAATGCTGATAGTGTAATTTGCTTGTGTAACTATCAGAGATTGCTSACTATATAATGCAACAGCCAGGAGTAACTTTAGGGACTCCAAGTGGGATTGTGTGACCATATAGAGATGTCAACAATGTAAAATTCTGTGTGTGCTTTAATTGACTCCTATATGCATTAATATGCATTCTTAAATAGTATTGATTTCATCTTAAGGTATTTGTCTAAAGAAGCTGCGATGCATTGCACCTGGAAGTGCCTATTTTTCTTTAATGAGTATAAGGAGATCTCATGGYGGCGAGTTCAGATTTAGACATCTCAGATATATGTGTAACCATATTAATACTTTCTGTAACCTTTATTCTCTTCCATTGTTTCTTGATTTTTTTTTTTGTTATCATTCTCACTTGTTGCATTTTCTGTGGAAGGGTTGTATCTTCCATATGTTAGGTATATTGCCTAGCGGTATTTCCAAATCCTGGACACTGCTTAAACAGAATTAATAATGCCCCTGTGCCTTGGAAGATTCARTAGTCTTATTATGACATGATCCTCATTTATCCACTGCAGGTAAAGTGGCTCTATTTTAGGGAGTCAGCCAAGAAACTAAATACAAAAGAGGGACTTTCAACCTAAGCCTAAGTTAAACTCTGAACTTACTAAGCAGACCCCTAGTCTGGCAAACTTATCCTGCAGACTCCTGCAAAAGTCCCTTATATAGTCCTGTAAGTTATTCATAGGCCTACCAAGTTTGTTTAAGTGAGTGAAGTTACTTACTTAGACATCCCTGCTTGTGCAGGCATTAGGTTTTCTAATATGAAATTGTGAATGCCTACTATATAGAACCACCTTTTTTTTT